TGATAATTTCGAATCACCTAAAGCAACAATACCTATTTTTCCACTGACTAATCCTCAATCAGCACTATAACTAGTTAAATTTAATAGTTTCAGGATATCGTCATAAAGCATTGTCATAACTTGACAATCACGTAATGACTGATAAAATTAATGAAACTATTAACGAAATCGGTCAACAAATTGGCTTATAATTACCATTAAATGGTGTTGTTTTCTTGGTATCTTCATCCATCACAGATGATTACAGTATGTTTCTCTATCAGTTGCTTATTCAGCAAATATTTCAAAACCTTGTCAGTCTAAGTGATGGTTTAGCGACACAATCATGCATGCAAATAATCAGTATAAGCAGTCGAGCAAATCTCCTGCAAACTGAAAACATCAATGTCGAATTTACCCCAACACTGACTAAGGTTCAAGCCATTATCATAGACATGAGTTGGGAGTGTACTCCCCTTGGTTACAACTTATGTTCTCCCTGATAATCACATGAGCATCACTCACTATTAATCATCTTGTAAAAACTTATTTAGCTAAATATATCTTGCAGCACCACATCACTTCGTAATATGACCCATAGGCTTAACTGATTTTAATAACTTATAACCACTATATCTCAATTAAATCGTATTCCGCCTTATGATAAACTGCATACTTGCAACTAACTTGTATGCATCATCAGCCGTCAGGTATAAATATGTATAAATAGTCTATGGCAACTCAGAACATTGAGTCTAGAGCATGTCTATTACGAATACACTCATGTTTAACGATTTGTTTCTAGCTATCTGTCCAAAATTCATATAATCATCACTCACGTATTTAAATATTGTTTTGATAACCATTCATGTGTATTAGTAGTATTACTAAATTCTATCACGGTCAAGTAAAAATGAGGTTGAGAAAATCTCCCCGTAACTAAATAAACCGTATCAAACTAACTGGAACACTAGTTGGAATTCTTCTCCACGGTATACTTTTGTTCCTTCAGTTAGCCTACTAATACAGATGAAATTGGAAATCACATATGGACGGGTTACAGGCATAATTGTTAATTGGTTTCATAATTTAAACCAAAACTAATACCAATATTAACATTTCTACAATACTCATTACTTTAATATTCCTAAACACAAAATACTTACTACCTATACGTCAAGTTATTAACCAACGGCTATTAACACGCATTGTTTTATTATTATTACTGTAATCCCATTTTTTTATAGCTCAAATAATCTTCACCCAAATTGTCATTATAAGCGTGTCAAGCATGAAGGCAGATTTTTTTAAAATTATTACATGTATTTCCCGACCAGATGCTGCCGCCTTCTTTTTGATTTATCTTTCAGCTTATCATTACACGGAGAATTCTACCTATTCTTGGTAACCTCCGGCGCGCGACGATCCCATTCAGTTTGGTGTCGAACCAACATTACGTTGATTCTGGTGGGAGAGTAGTGTAGTGGCATTGGACAATAGCCACACAAAGCTATGAACACGAGACTACACAGAAAATAGATATATAGTATTCGAATTATCGTATGAATTAGGAATTCCAGGATTAACGCAACTGAATTAAGAAGACACAGGCACAAACGAATGTATTGTGTTTAGAATTCGAAATCAAACATTCAACCAGTACAAAGGTATCATTGGTTCATTCAAACACCACATCCGCCACAGCTTAAATTGGAGTCTAGGTGTTTGTAATCAATCGTACGTCTTCTTCTCAAATTCATCCTGAGTCTGTCTGACATTGTATTGGATAAGGATTCTGTATTATCTAGAATATGCTCATTAGCATTAGAATTAACAATCGAAATTGGAACTGACTCACCTGGTTCCTGAAATTGTATTTGATCTACATGTCGACTGTGTGTACTTAAGTCATCGATGTCTAGAATTCGTACCATCGATTTTCCGATATTCCTCAGAACAATACCCGTCGATGGTCGAAGATCATTTCCTCGATAGTATGTAACTTCTGCAGACTCCAGACATCTCATATTCGACCGAAGAATTCTTCCTTTCAATAGCTTCGCTGGAGTCTCCTTCGTCACCGAATGTCTGGCATTTTTATATTGCAATAGAAAGGTATCTACTCCCCTCTCCAGCTCATTAAATGTTGAGGGGGCTATAGAATCAATAGCAGTCTTTAATGTCCTAACAAATTTCTCTGCCTGACCATTAGAACACGGATGTCTGGGAGCAGTAAATAGATGTTTGCACCCTATACCGTTCAACCAGGTAGTGACTGCATCTGCAGCAAAATGTGAGCCATTATCAGTCACCAACACCAAGGGAACACCTTCTCGACTAAACACCTTTCTTAATGCTTGTATTGTGAAATCAGAATTTGGTGAAGTTGTGAAAAAAATTTCAGGCCACTTTGAAAAATAATCAATGACTACTAATGCGTAGTATTTCCCAAGAAATGGTCCACAATAGTCAGCATGAATCCTCTGCCAGGCCTCAGACGATACTGGCCATGGCACCCACTTCGAAGGATGATTTTTCAACTGATGACATTTCTCACAATTGTTTGCCGTACGACATATATCTGCATTTATCTCTGGCCACCAGCATGTGAGCCTTGCCAAGGACTTCATTTTCTCAACACCTAAATGACCACTATGAAGATCTTCAAGAACAGATTTACGCAATGAAGGAGGAATGACAACACGATCGTTTAAACACAGAATACCATCAGGAGTAGTAGATAACTCATCCCGCTTTGAAAAATAGATAGGAAATCTCCGTTTCAAATTAGCATTCCAACCTTTCCTTATAGCACTGAGTATACATCCAAAATATCTACGAGTTTCTCTAACGAGATCTGAACGTCTCACTGGTAAAGGTTGCACTAACAAACAATCCGAAGTACTAATAGGTTTATCTTGTAATGACTGTCGAGAAATGTAATCAACATGTTGAATCTGTTTGGCACTTCTGTGCTGAACCGTATAGTCATATGCACTCAAAGCAATACTCCATCGCTGAACCATAGCTGCTGAGGAACGTGCTAAGGATTTTTCGGGATGATAAATAAACTTTAAAGCTTCATGATCAGTAACAATAGTGAATTTCTTTCCGAATAAATATTTATGAAGTCTTTTAACAGCCCAAAACACAGCTAATGCTTCTCGCTGAGTCTGTGAATAACCTTGTTCAGTAACAGTAAGTTTGCGTGAAACACAAATAACTGGTCTACCTTCCTGTTCCAAAACTGCACCAATTCCCACAGGTGATGCATCAGTAATAAGCACAGAATGTACATTAGGGGAGTACGTTCGAAGAACAGCATCACTTTGAAGAAACTTCAGCAGACTTCGTAAGCATGACTCTTGTTCCTCACTCCATTTGAATGAATTTGATGTTAAAATATTAAATAAACAATTTGCACGACAAGAAAAATTAGGAATAAAACGGGAATAGTATTGAAGAGCACCCACTAGTGAACGTAATTCTGTAAGATTTTTCGGAGACGGTGCATTAGTCAGTGGAGCTAGTCGTTTCATATCTGGTCTAAAACCATTACCATCAACTAGGTATCCAAGGCATTCAAAATTAGATACACAAAATGAACACTTATTTGGATTCACTATTATATTCTTCTCAATTAAACGACGCAATAAGGCAATAAGTCTCTGGTCATGAACCACCTTATTAGAGCCATGAACAATGAGATCATCTTGATAAACTTCAACACCTTCAAGATCACTAACTACTTTATTCATAACTTCCTGAAATATGGCTGGAGAACAACTTAGACCAAATGGAAGGAAATTGTATTTGAACAGACCAAAAGGAGTGTTAATAGTCGTCAAAATAGATGAAGATTCATCTAAAGGAATTTGAAGATAAGCATCTTTTAGGTCAACTTTCGAGAACACTTTAGAACCATGAAGTCGATTTAGAATATCTTCAGCTTCTACCGTTGTGCACGTTTGCTTCAACAAACGGGAGTTCAGAGTTAATCTATAGTCACCGCAAATTCTAGGGGTCTTGCCGTCCGACGTCAGTGGCGTAACGATAGGAGTACCCCATGCTGAAGACAGGATTGGTTCAATTATGCCTTTCACACACAAATCGTTTAATGTCTTATGTACTGCTTCTCGAAGGCCATAAGGAATTATTCGTCTTTTAAGAAAGACTGGATCACCCTGTACTTGAAGTTTTATAGGCTTAACTTTCATACCTCCACTGCACTTAGCACACATAGCTATCAAATCTTTAAGTAAAGTATCAGAATTTTCTTTAGAAACTAAGAAGGACAACTCCACCTTAAGCCTTTTCAAATTCTTTAAACCCAATATTGACAGTCCTGTTTCGCTAACTAAAAACTCACAAGGTATGTATGAAGAATTATCATCTCTGATTAGCAATTCACAACATCCTTGTGTGGGCAGTCTGTGTCCAGTAATCCCCAGTATTGATACTTCAGTGGGTCGTACCACAACGTTAGGATCTAAAGCTTTCAAGTTCTTGAATGAAATAATGGACTCTATACTGCCTGTGTCCAGAATAAAGTCATGAAATGAACCAAGCGATGTATATAATCGCTTCTGAATATGAGCATTACCTTTCGAAATAGTGGACAAAGACAAATGATCACTAGAAACATCCGAATTATTGAAATTTAAATTACAAGATTTAGTACAGCTCGAAGCAAAATGGACAGTAGCTTTGCATACTGACTGAATGTGTCCTACCTTACCACATTTAAAACATTTAGCATTACGAAATACACATGAATTGCGAGCATGAAACTTTCCACATGATAAACATTTACCAAACTTCATCTCACCTTTGTGATTCGCTTTGTAATTCCTCATTGAAACACCTTTCATATTTACACGAGAATAGGAATCACTGTTAAATGAACGCAAGTTTGATTGACCCTGAGATTGTAGTTCATCACGACGACTAAGCAAAGTATTAGAAATCTTCATCGACTGGATATCAAGTTCATTAACTGCCTTGTAGTTAATACACGCAGTTCAAGCATCTTGAAAGGAACAGTTTGGCATTCTTAACAGCTCTCTTTCCAAACTCGGTATGTTAATTCCTGCAATTAATCGATCTCTCAGTTGCACATGAAGTTGATCACCGAAATTACACTTGGCAGCTTGTTTCTGTAATTCAAGGATGAATTCCCGAACCTTTTGGTCATTTTGACGAACCATCTTATGAAACTTCACCCTTTCACGGCATTCAAAACTGGTGCATTTTACATGACTTAACAATAGCTCTTTAAGAATTGCATAAGGGAGTGAGATAGGTTTTTCTGGATATGCCAAAGTTTTTAATAAGCTGTACGCTTCTCTCCCAATGAATGTCAGAAAATGTGCCACAATTTTCTCACCTTTAACATCTTTCTTGGTCATGCTCCAAATTTCGAACCTTTCCAAATAATCCTCAATAGCTTCAGGAGTTGAATGAATATCCAACTTTTCCATTGCAGGTTCCATCACGACGCCAATATAGTATTCGAATTATCGTATGAATTAGGAATTCCAGGATTAACGCAACTGAATTAAGAAGACACAGGCACAAACGAATGTATTGTGTTTAGAATTCGAAATCAAACATTCAACCAGTACAAAGGTATCATTGGTTCATTCAAACACCACAAGATATTCAATATTTAACGCGGAGAAATACCCAACGATGGAGAAGGCGCGAACAGTGAATTGAATGGACTAGGTTGATCGAGTGGCATGGCTCGGCCATGCAGGCGAGGTCTCTGCCGAATGTAACCTTATATCTTCTGTTCATATTAAATATATTGTTCTTTCTCTAGCCTAACCTTGTTCTACATCATGTATTGGTAATTGATACGATACAGTGAGTTGGTGTAGTCGATGGTGTGACTTCCACGTAAGATCTTATAGATTAGGCAGTTATATCATGACAAATCTACAAATTTAGGATTAGGTCTATTATTAAAGCAGTACTAATATCATAGTAGACCACAGTTCTACAAGAATGAATAAACTAGTTTCAGATCATCAGCAAAAAGGAAAGGCTTACCATACTGAAAGAGGGAACACACATCATTGATAAAAAGGAGAAAGAGTAATGGACCAACCACACTTCCTTGTATAACCCCACTGGTTACATTCACAGGTTTAGAGTAGCAAGATCCAAAGCCGACGATTTGGCTATGTTCTTCTAAAAAAGATTTGAGCCAAGATAAAAGGGGATTCTGTATGCCAAATGAAGAGAGTTTTAAAAGAAGAAGTTTGTGTGAGACACTGTCGAAAGCCTTACTAAAATCGAAGTAAAGAACTATCACTGACTGACCAACATCTCTTCTCTGTGTAATTTGATCAAAAAACTCCAAGTGCGATGTGAAACATGAACGTTTAGTCATTAACCCGTGTTGGGATGGGCTGATCAGACTAGCCGAAAGTAAAAATGATAGTAGGTGTTTGTGGATGATTTTTTTCATGGTTCTTGAGAGCACGGATGTTAAATTAATTGGCCTATAGTTAATAATATCACTACGTGGTCCTGTTTTGAATCTAGGGGTGATAAGGGATGTTTTCCATACAGATGGATAGGTCCCATATTCCATAGATAGATTGAAAAGTTTCAAACAAAATAGTGGAAATTCTCTACTTCCATATTTCACAAATAATGAAGGTATCCCGTCAGGTCCACCATCATAAGACGTTTTCAGGGCAGCTATGGCCTGCTTGATGTTGGAGTGTGTAAAATCAATTTTCGACAGATGTCTGGATGTCAGCATTGGAAATGTAATGATGAAGTTTTCAGTCCCAGTTTTGTAGCCCTGCGAGAAGTGCTTGCTGAATTGTTCGCATATAGTATTCGGGTCGTTAACAATGCTTCCGTTGTCTCCTCCAGTATACGTGTGTTCCGCGAAGTTGACTCTAGGGTGAATAAAGTCCCCTAGAATCAGGATGTGTGTGAAACCGAGACGAGTAGAGCGGGATAGTCCTTCCAGCATACAACTATCGTACTCGATGTCGGCAGTTGGCTTCCTGTAAATGACTCCGACTAGACACCTCGAAGTACAAGACAATCTTACAGAGCACCATGTAGGTTCCTCAAGATTGTTAAACTCAAGGTTATGAACTTGGTGCACCTCCAAGCAAGAACGTATAAAACAGTTACTCCGCCCCCAAATCCTGATTTTCTGTCATTGCGGAACAAAGACATCCCAGGTAATGCTAACTCATGGTCCTAGAACTGAGAAGATATCCAGGTTTTCGATATTCTTATCAGATGGGCCTTATTAGCATTGCTAAGTTCACATAGTTCATCCAATTTGTTTGGTAGACCTGCGGCGTTCATATATAAGCAGTTTATGCTTTCAATTTGGAACGCGTGAGTTTCTTCCTGTTTGTCTGTATGAGCCTTACGTGAATGGACAGGTAGTCCACCTATATGAGGTTTGTCGAGGTGGTAGGCTCTGTCATTCACACGTTTTTTTATCGTCTAGACAGTCCGCAAGTGAAATGATCAGCTCCAGTTTGCCTTTTTGTTTGATCCTAGCTTTGTATGGCCTATCCGGGTGCATGTGGATTCCAGGTGGCAGTCGACGTCTGTTTGCACGAAATGCTCCCAGAGTTGCAGCCGCCAAATGGGAAGATGGGAAGGTTATCTTCATTAGACGGGGTCTAAGATCACCGTCCTTCTTGGCTAGTCTCGTCACGTGCTGAGTCAGTATGTTTTTGAGCCTCAAGGACTGTTTGATGAATCGCCATTCCCTGATGTCAGTCTTTGATTGAGTAGGGTCAGTATTTTCCGGTATACCTTGCACGATTATATTCCTCCAGCGAAAAAACTGATCGCGAGTTTCTCTGGGTGTGTTCCGGATGAGATTGCGCTCAGAATACGGTATGTCAGGCAGTATTCTTACATTCCCATCTGATTTCAGTAAATGACTCGCTAGTAAGACATCCTCTACGTCAGTGTCATTGTTAAGTGTTACACGAAGTAGCCCTGGGGAGATTTTGGTGCTTAGATTCCTTTCCCCGAGTGAGCCGTGTGACTGTCAAAGGCTTTATTCTTGGAAGTCTAAGTTTCTTGTTCAATTCTCCCCAGAGCATCCTATCATTTTTGTCCTACAAACTGAGAGGAAGGTCAGGGTTGTCTTTGAATTTCATGACTATGAGAGAGTCATCACGAACCGTTATTGTCGTCCCAGGTTTTCCGGTGCGCTTAGGCTTAGCACCTTGTTGTTTGGGGGTCGAAGCACGTTTATGAACCCTTGGCTCTTTGATGACCGGACGGACCATCTTGGGGGTAGACTGTGCGATAAGATCGCCAGTTGACTTCTGTTAAACATCTGGATTGTTCAACTTATACTGTGACGCCTGGCCCTTTTTAGCTCTTTTGACATGGGTCCAGTCACCTACAGAGTTTCTGGGAACCACTGTCGCGTTCAAGGACCTTGAGCTGTGAGACCCGAGTTTGCTGAAGGAGTTGAGTACCGTCGTCGTAATCATTGTGCTGAGTTTCAGCGTGTCAACATTAATGCTGTTGCATGCTCCGTCGTTGGTAGACCTGTCGACATCCCTGTTCTCGTTTTCAATGGGCTCACTTGTTTGTCTACCCATTTTTTGACTGTCTTTTCCCAAGTTTGCCGACAACTTGCTCTGCAGACCTGTAGGTAGGACAATAATATTACTCAGCAAGACTGCAGCATTCGTGCTGTACGTAACACATCCCCGCTTATGATCCGACTTGCTGAGTCTGTTGTAAGCAGTTTCTGCGAGATCTGTGCACGCTTCGTGGAACCAACCTTTGCAGTTGTCGCACTGCATGCCAGATGTAACAGCAAAACGGCATCCAGGTCGTTTGCAGGAATTTTTCATGACTGTATTGACGTAAACTGTGTTGTAGATGCTAGCAAAAGCCTAAGACCGTAAAAAATACACGAAAAAACACTGAAAACGGTCAAAAATGGATAAAACGGATGAGATAAACTGAAAAAAGCCGAATAGTAGGCTGAAGCAAAACCTCAGTTAACTATTAAATTGAGTGAAACTCAAAAAAAGTAATCTACCGAACGTTCAGCTCAGGATATATTCTTTTGGTCAGAAATGGTACTTTTGTTGCGTAAGAACACAGCAAAAGTTTGATAAATGCAAATCACGTTAGGACTAAACTTCCCGTTCGAAAAGCGCGGTCAGATAATAATTACCATCTGCTCATTTGTTTACTAACATCGAGAGTAAACTCCCGGCGTTCTAACAGACATTTAAGACAGCTGGAGATAATCCATGCGGGATGTGAGGCAGTTAGACATCGAAGACAATGGGAGATGGACGTGGAATTTTGTGGATTGGTTGAAGTTAGACATTAACACCGTCGTGTACCAATTCAGTGGTCCAGAGGTTAAGCATTCGTGCGAGAAACCGAAAGTCACATGCACGAGTCCCACGTGCGTGACCATCAGTACGGAATACCGAGGATTCCTATACTAGAGCAAATCAAAGGTTCAGTACTTTCAGGCTCTTAATATTGGTCTAACTTAGACAAGTCCATGTTTCCGATCGAATCAATTAATTCATTTATTCATTTATCTTTTTGCTTCTTTAGACAACTATCTATTCTTAGACCTATATTTGATTCCTTTCACGTTGTTTTTCATGCCACAGCTAACCAGTCGCGTGCCTGGTAATTCGTTGGCCTCCGGTTCGAGAAATCCTAGTACTTTTAGATAAATGTACTGACTTAGATTACAAAATGTCCAAGCCTATTAATAACTAGGAAACGAACTGGAACTGATTAAGTAGAGTAACTAGATCACCATTTTTTGAACATGATCAAAGACCTGTTAAAGCATAATAGTAGTACGGACTGAACACAAAGACAACAACTGATTTGCACAAGCTCTTTACAACGATTTCGGTAACACGTAAGCTAACACATTACCCACCATGGATTAATAATGAAACCTGAGAACTGTTGAGGCGTAGGAAACACTTCTGGTACTTATTCTTGCCAACGGGACACACATCATTTAAGTGTGAATATAAAAAATGCGGAATATATGTGACAAAACCATAGCTAAATCTCGTACTACTTACGAAAGACAGTCGGAATAAGATAGCCGTACTTTTCCGAAACGATTGTTTTCGTATCTTAAACGGCGAAAAAAACGTAGTGATAGTAATCTCTCATTACTGTTACACGAAAATCCAGATTTACTAGCTAAACCAGAGCAGGTAAAACTTGAGACGTCTTCAAACTATTTTAGCAAAGTCTACTCGACGTGTATTGTTACAAATACTTGTCCCAATCACACCGCGATACCAGCCATAGTATCTGTACATGTGATTGACTAATGGAAGCCGTCCAGAAGCGGTGTACCCCAAGGCACTATCTTAGGCCCTCTAATTTTCCTTCTCTACGTTAATGAGTTACCTCTATTAATTAAGTCTTCGACACTATTATTTGCGGATGATGTAAAAATCTAGGGAACTATAAGAAGTGA